TCCCCGCTCAGTGGATCCCGTTCTTTTGCGCCTGCACCCACCTTGCCCAGCGGATTTTTACAACGAAAGCCCCATTGGGAACCTCTGCGGAGGAGAGAGACAGTGAGTTACACTATCAATGGCATTGAGGTCAGACAAGCATAACTTGGCAAGTACTTTCTATATCGTTTCACTGATCCAACCAATTTTGCCAGATATACTGCACACGGCATACCATGGTTTGGCAAATATAATGATCGATAGAAAAAATCTAAAAATTTTCCGAACTTATCCGGGATTTGGTTCCCGTCAGTTTTCAGTTCATAGACCATGAATTAGAAAAAAAGAGGATAAAGTAGAATGTTTCTCACCGTATGTATCATTAGGAAAGACTGCACTGGCGATGTCAATATGTCCCTTTAAAACTCTCGTGTAACAATCCTGTGTGATGAAATTGGTGGCAGAGATAACTAAATGAACCTAACTTCCTTACTTGTTTATTTCATGGAAACATCGAAAACGCAATATTGGTATTTGAAAAAGCTCCGTTTTAAAGAAAAGGACACTTACCTTCTGGTGTTTGGTAGGGACTCCAAAATGGACAGTGCGTGTTGTGTCTGTTGTCCCATCTCTAAACATGGAGCCAAGACAAAGTAAGATTTTCTTTATGTCAACGGAAGCTCATTTACATCAGAAACACCAAGTTATTATAAGTTGTTATAAATATTTTACCGGTCTTGCTAGGCCTACGAGCGGCGGTGATAGAAATCTAGACTATTCAAGGGTTTGGAAAGTTGCTGTAATCGTTAGAGAAACATTTGATTAAACCAACCGGCATACAGAGGAAACCTTACAAGTATTGTCCTCCGGAATCCAACAAATAAATATTGCTGTTGTTGATCCTAGCGTCTGTATATTGATTTGCTCTGCCAGGATAGAAACAAACAAACAAAACATAAAGCAGCGTCTAAGGGTTACTTTGTGATTTCATCCTACTCTTGTATGTCCAGCGCTGTCTGTATAGCTCTGTAGGATATATTGGTAATATTAAGTATGTTGATTGTATAAGCTTCGAAAAAGAGTATGAAGAGATTGTACATACGAGGGGTGGCGCATAAGCTTCAGCTGCAAATACAATGTATCTCAAAATGCATTAGTGCTTCGCGTCTACTACTGAATTGCGCTGTTACAAAACTATGAGAGCCGAAGAGACTGCTTTGCTGAATAAAACCGGCGCGTAATTAACACAACAATTATCTGATTCAATATCAAACTATGTTGTGTTGTGCCACGCCAGGAGGCTTTTCTTTTCTATCCTGTGCTAAGTTGTTGCGGTATTCTACTCTGTGAAGTCTCCTTACTTGTAATGAATGATGGCACTGTTTGGTCCAAAGCCAGAAATTGTGGCAAAGCTAGGACTTATAAAGTTCTCCTGCAGCCTTAAACAAAAGTATAAGGAATTAGTAGTGTTTCTCGCTGTAAGATAGCAATTCCAATTTTCGTTCTTTCGGACTTCTGATTAAGAAATGAACTGATTTTCATTAAGCCATGAAAATCACTGTAAACATTGTTTTGGTTCTACTATATGGAACAGACAAAACTCCGGTTGAGTAGAGTCAGTAGAGATAAAGAATGAGTCGGAGACTGTGATTACAAACGACTCAAGGCAAATTCAACAAACACTGAGAAATTAAAGAAGACAAAGTGTCTTAGATTCCAAGTGCGGCCTACTTTGTCCCTTCATTTCGTATAATTAGCTTGAACAATAATACATTTCTTACGATCTAAAGTATAACAACTTGGTCTCGGCGGTTAATTCCGTAATCTCAGTTGAGTTCCGTGCAATCTGAAACAACAATAAAAAGGCCATGATTTAATAACTGAAAACCCAGAGAGAGTGTGTAAGAAGTAAAAGAGCCTTCGCAAAAAGCTTTTGGGGAGTAATGATCCTCAGTGGCCCGGGTTCGACTCCTGGACCTGATGTCATAAGTGGGTTGAGTTTGTTTTGTCGCTGCTGGGAGGGTTTTCTCTGCCCCGGGTTCTCTGGTTTTCCTCCCTCCACAAAAAACATCACTGCAAAGGCAATTCGATTTGGAAGCAGTGGATGAAGCCTCTCCGTGGGATGTGCCACTGCCAATTCTATTTCCTATTATTATTTTTATTTACTTAATTATTTTCTTTTTTAATCTTATGGTATTTTCCCATTCTGAAATCAAGCAAGCATCATCAACAACACCCCGAAGACGACTTGTATCTCAACGCGGCAATTATCTAGATTTTCTCTGCTTACAATGCGTTGGTTTTTGACTCAACATAATCAGTTAGAGAAGAAGCACGTCTTTTTAGAACCAAACATAAATTTTCTTTTACGTTGTTGTCAAGTCTTTTTTTTTTTAAAGAACCACATTTTCTCTAAATTTAGCAACGCCGTATATCGTTGTCGTGGTTCGCTTGATTCCTCAATTATGTGATTGTACCTCTTTTTCAATCCAAGAGAAGAATTCACATAGAGCGACGCAGTCCTTTAGCTGCGGAAAAATGAAAAAAGGAAACAAAGAAATTTCTATTGAAGATAGACCTGGCTCACTTAATACCAAAGGCTGGCGGTTTAATTTCTATATTCAGACTTCAAATTCCAATTTAAAACCTACGCCAATCTATGTAATCAGTATCGTATCTTAAGCGCACTGATATCAATGTGATATTCCATCTGAAATTCAATTTTTATTCGCTCCTTATTAACGCACTTTTTCCGGCCTTTTGTGTGTGCGGAGAAAATACGGTTTACAAACGGGCTGTATTCAAGAGGTTCCTCAACTATTGTTAGAGTGAATCCAGTACTTTTTGATGAATCAATACTACCACTATACAGATAATCTTTTTGTTAGCATAACAGGTTGCCATAGTAACAGTACAACCTAATAAAATAAGATGATCTGCTTGTCTCTGCACCTCTTCAGTAAACTTTTGCATTTAATTTTACCAAGAAATGGGTTTTTACTTACCGATCACATTTCGAAAATGGAAAATGGAAGTCATTGGTCCTTGGGCTAACATGTGCTTTTGCTATGTAACCTAGTCTGCCAAAAATGACTACAATTTGTTCCCTAATGATTGGGCTCACATAAGATACTTATTATCAAAGCTTAATCTTTTGAAGAGTGCCAGAAGTGATTCATCAAAGAAATATCCTGTAGAATACTCGAAATCGTCATCAGCCATCTTAACTGTACATACTGGAGGCTTTAGTCAACTCTTTCAGGATGACTCTCGAGTGCTGAGGAAAGCCATACAATTTGGCAAGGGAAGACTTACAGAGGAACAATATTTACTTACATTGGCGTTTTTCATTCCACGAACTTCTGTCGGATTTTTGATTGCTTTTGGCAAATCAACTGGAGACTCGTCTATTAGCAACTTCTCCTAAAAAAACATAAAGTAGTACATTTTTCTGTAATTTGTAGAGAACGTTTCCTTGCAATACACTCCTACATTTGTAGTTAACAATTAATCCACGAGCGCACGTTGGATATGAGATGGTAGATAGCCAACAAGCGGGAGTGGAATAATCGTTCTATTGAAAACGCCCGCCAAAATATATATATAAAAAAAACTGAACTAAAGTAAAAATAAGCAAAAGACCAAAATATTACGCGTACGCTAACTATATTCGTAGAGCATGGTATAATGGCGTAGGATGTTTCGTAGGACGGGGGACTATAGGGGTAGAATATTGGGAAAGCGGGAAAGGAACTTCAAGTTAGCGAAATGCCAGTTCCTGTTCAAAAACGTGGCCCTCAGATTTATGTTTGTTGCACACAATATTACAAAATACTGGAAGACCGTTACAGAAATTTGCTAACTTCGGGTAGGGATGGGAGAGGGAGCATGTGAACTCCATCGCAGGGTAGGTGAAGCAAGTGGCCCTTTAAAAATACGATAATGGCTTAGAAGCAATGGTATCGTCCTTCGAGTTGCAAGAAGGTCTGAATAAAAGGTCTTCCTGAATACCTGTAAAACTAAACCGGGCTGCGGAACACTGCGGACAAGTAATATATAGATTAGGGTACGTTCCTTTGGAGTGATCTGGATTATGATCAGTGATCCAAGATCTGTCTGGATCATGGTGAATCAAAAGAACCGATGACTCCATTCTGCTCATGGATTCATCGGTTTCTTTGATGCACCATGATCCCGACAGATCTTAAATCACTGATCCTGATCCAGATCACCCCAAAGGAACGTAGCCTAAGCCAAGCCTAAAAGCGGAGCTCCTGGACCGGGCTGTTCAAGGCCGATTAAGTTAACCCAGGATAAGCGAGAATTTTGATTTGAGTCTTGTAACTTTGCGGTTATGTTTGCTGTATATTGTTTGACCTTCTGTTCTGAGTTTGAATAATCTCAAACTACACAGCTAAAAACATTTGTATACAAGAAAAATTTATACTTATATGGTAGCGATATGGTAACGTGATACTTGTCAGCGGATACCTTGGATACTAGTCAACGGATAACATGGCTGTCCAATATCAAAGCAGGACGCTATAAACGACGGCTGCGTGTCTCTGTCAACCTCGTAGCTTACCCTTGGAGAACGCTTATCCAAGTCACTATTTTTCATGAACACGATCTTTATGTCGTCCACCTATTTGTTATTACGAAGCGTTATAGTTATTACCCTTATTGCTGCTGTTAGTGAAGCTTGCTGACTTCGCCCTTTCCGTTCGGAACCGATCGTTAAAACTGGCTATGTTTAACACACGTTGCCTTCGAAAAAAAACGTGCTAACTGCAATTGCGATAATAAGATCCAAACACTTACTGTCATCATATTTTTGCACTTACGTCCCTAGTAGACCTTTTTAGCTTGGAAGGTTTGTTTCCCCATTTCTGACCATGTGATATACCCTTGAGAATTCTTGCTGTCAAATTTTTAAATGGTTGCGTGCACATGAATGAATAATTTTTAGATGGATGAAAGAACAACCCTCTCGAGAATATCACATGGTGTATAGCGAGAATACAAACCCCCCAAGCTAAAGAGATATACTAGGCCTAATCAGTACCCGGCCAAAATTCATGATTGCTTCTTAAACAAATAACTCGTTTCTAACTGCTGACCTTTGGAATGTTCATTCTTATCCCATGACTTGATGTTGTACTAACCTGAGCCGATAAAACGAAAAACAACATTAAACTGAATAGACACAAACTGAAAATTGTCATCATTTATACTCAAGTGCAATTGCAACATATTACAGAACTAAGTTTGTTCAGAAAACTAAAATCAACTGAAATAACTAAATGACTTAAGACTAAAATCAACCAATCAGATTGCTCCATTGCCGGCCCAATATTCTCTTAGTATGGGGTCGGCTAATAATAATAATAATAATAATAATAATAATAATAATAATAATAGTAATAATAATAGCAATAATAATAATAGTAATATAGTAATAGTAATATAGTAATAGTATTATAGTAATAATAATAATTATAATAATGATTATAATAATAATAATAATGAACTTTATTTATTGAGGGTAGCACACAACAGTAATAACTGTACTGGGTACTGTCTCGAATAATCCCACACGATCACTCTTGAAGATTTTCCTAACGCTTCTGAAAGACGCAAGTAATTCTTTTTCACACCCGTGTTCTCGGCCTCTGTACGTCCCCTCCATCCCTCTCTTAGGACCTCCAGTGTACTACTAAGTACAGTGACCCTTTGAAGAATTACAGAATTCTGAATGTTTTTCTAAACTAGCGATACTTACCAATATTTGAACGCCATTTTGACCAGCTAGTCTCTTCACTGCCTCAGTTATATCTTTATATGGCTTTAGTAGTACGCAAAGGTTCTTTTCATTGGGACACTCATCGGCAATCAAATGATCTTTCACTTCTGGCGTTAACTTGCAAAAATCTACAAACAATCTACAAGTAACACAAATAGGTAATACACATTCCTTCCGACTGCAGCCAGAAATGGTAAACCGACGGGATAAGTTTTTTTCAGGGCAATAAACATGATGAGTAATACAATCAAGGTGTAAGTTGTGCAAATATCAAGTGCTTACATGTCACGTTTCATACTTACGTGACGTTGGTGTCTGTAACTATTGCATAAGAGAAGAACACAGGCGTGTACTTGATATCAAATCCACGAAGATTTAACAGCCCTATGGCAGAGAAACCGAAAAAAACCGGTTTTTCATTTTATAGATAAAAAGATGCTTCTTCATCTTTTTCATGAAAACAAACACTACGTATATTTTCCAAGTAAGGTCTAAGGAAGGTAGCCTATAATTTCAGTCGTCTTCCCTGGAAGCTCTTTCCCTGGAAATAAGGTTGAATCAAATAGCTGCTGAAGACATTAGGTGACGTCATTCATGCAGATAATGAAATAATAATCAGCATTAAAAAAATCGCCTAAATAAGGAGTACTGAGAGGATAGCAAAAAATTATTCTATTTTGAAATTGAGACGTGCTTTTAGTTTTACACTTTGCTGTCAAAAAAAAGAGTGCATGTACGAAAGGCTCTAACTTTATGCGAGTTCGATTGACTAAAAATGAAGTTTTGAGCAGCGGGCTTTCTGTTTTATTTGTTACTCTTACTTACACGCTATTTCATCGAGCTTTTGAAGAACTACAGCAGTTGCAGATCTCGCTTTCATGGATTCGCGTAGAGCTACGATTTTATCTTGCCATCTTTTACCTAAAAATTATAATTAATATAGCAATTACGCACATACATATACATGATTCCCTTCGTGCCTAAGTGGCACATAAGGCAATGGCAATTACAATTATAGTTACATTCAACAATAGTTATCACAGGTACAGTTACAAACAAAAAAGGAAATAATATTATAGACTGTGGAAACATGTTATGACTAAACAGTTTCTCAGTTTCCTTTCTTATTGACTGCCAAATTAAGAAAATAGTCTTTGAATAGTCTTTCAATTTGTTTCTTTTTTTTCTTCTATTTATTTTGTGTCTCTAAATTAATTTGGGATTTTCCCATGCTAATTTTCTATTGCTGCTCAGACTTATCCTGGAAAACGGACAGGTCTGATATGTTTAATATGGCGAACTTCTAATCAATGCGGAAAATTGTCGAAGAATTGTAATAACGCAGTTATTACATAATAGAAAGACTGAGCAAGGGGCATTTGGTTCAGTAAGGAAAAAGGATTTAGAATTAATCTTTGCAATTAACCCTTTGAGCCCCAATTACGCATATACGCGTAATTGATGGCCATGTTCTTTGTACCACTTGTGACGTCATCAATTTCAATGTCATCAGATATTCTTGATAAGCAGATAGTAGAACTAGGCTAGGCCTATCCGTACAGTTGTCAGGTTTAAATATCGACGACATTCCGACGTCGCAAATCGAAAAACAACGTTATTAGGTTTGGTGCAAAAAGGGTGGTAAAATGATCCACTATGCCTATGATTGATAAAGGTCCATTTCTAGGCTTCGCCCGTAATTAACATCCAACTTTTCACGGCAGCCAGAGAGAACATGCAACGCAAAAGGTAGCCAGACTAAAAGGGCCGAGAAAAAACAAAGGAACGGGGCAACAAACAAAATCGAGAATGGGTAATGGGACCAAAACAAAAGTCCAAATTTTGGCTTATGCGCATGTCCGGAATTGAAATATTGCTCAATTGTGCACGTAATCCTCAAAAAATCTCTCCTTTTGGTAAAAAAAAGGCTATCCTAGCAAAACTTAGGCTTATTTAGCGTCATGGTAGCCAAAAAGCCTGACTAAGCGGTAAAAACGGCATTTTTTGGCGAAAGTTTGGTATTCAAAGGGTTAAGACTTGGAAATAACAATTGATACTTACCTGAGTAAAACGTATCAAGCACTATCAGCTTCTTGGATTTGGGCTTTGGTCGGACAGGCCAGATAACATCAACCAGGTTTTTCATGACTGGAATCAATTCTATTTTATATTTCTTGAGCTCCTGATGACGTAACACTTGTCTCAGTAAAGTCACAACACTTGATGCACATTGGTGATTTATGTGAAAAGCGGTTACTATACCTTGAACATTCGATCCCATTCACCTACAGGGATTCAATCAATCAGAGCAAAATATTATGACGTCATCATGAGACACTAATAGAAGAGACGAATAACTGGAAGAGTATGTTCCCGACATTCAAACTACATTGCTGTAATTCCATCACATCAGAAAGTTTCTATGTTAGCGTGCTGTTTTCGGAACAGGTTCGAGTCTTGTTTCACTCCAAGAGAAACATGTGTAACTGGTATGTTACCAGTCTTCTGGTAAAGTCTGGATGATGTAGCCTAATGCTGTCTAAAGTACACGATACGTTTAAAATCTGTTTAGTTCCTCTTTTGGCGATGAAATTGAAGAACTGAAGGACTTGCTTATATCGTGCAAATCGAACAATCATTACAACAAGAAAAAGCAACACTTACATATGGAGATAAGAAAAGGATCTACTCCAACCTTAGAGTCTTTAGGAAGGTTCTGGGAAAACAACAAAACAAATGTACGCTTTGCAAATGTATGAAGCCAGGCGCCATAATCGGAGACGGAAACCGTAAGTCTCGGGATTCGCGCGCACCTATGATATGGGACAATTGTTCTATTTTTAGAACAAATTGCGCCATCCTGACGTCATATATCCGCGCGGATTCACGCACATGTCGGGGCCTCTCGCGTGGATGTTGTCACGTTGCGTGATCAAATCATGAGAGTTGAGAGATTCTCTTGCGTATTTTTCACAGCGATGGTAGGGAATAAGGAAGGGAATACGAACCAGGGCGCTTATATGTAGTTTTATGCTCTGAGCTAACGATAAAGGTGGGCTTTTCAGGGTCGAAAACAAGACTTCAGTCTCGCGCTGGGAATGAATAATAAGATCTGCTCACGCTAGTTGTAAGCTTACGCGTATGTTT